AAGACAAAGACACGATACTCTGCGTCTTGCTACCATGGCTGACTACGGTACCTCCAACCGTCGTCGCGAACCCTGACACTGAACGCCCATCCTCCGTGTCGGCGTAGCTAGCGTCTACGTACACGGCAAGCCCTAACCCCGATCCCCGTTGGTAGGTGATGCCGAGGTCCCTCGTCCCTTTCAGGTAGCCGAGGATCTTCTGTATGGCATCCCAGTGCCGCTTCGCCGGGGCGTGGGCGTGGCGCGCTACCGCACGCACGGCGAACGAGACGTCTGGACGCGAGAAAGTCGACACCCACATNCTGCCGATGGCCGCCCTCACCGGCCACCCCCCTCCCTCCTCATCCTCTCGCTTCGGCCCTAGATCGGTACCATGGGTAGCGGGGATGCGGGAAGCTGATTGCACATCGAAGCGTTCAACCATGNTACAGTTGACACCCACATCATGCTGCCGATGGCCGCCCTCACCGGCCACCCCCCTCCCTCCTCATCCTCTCGCTTCGGCCCTAGATCGGTACCATGGGTAGCGGGGATGCGGGAAGTTGATTGCACATCGAAGCGTTCAACCATGCTGTCGATATACGCGGTTTGGGAGATTCTAAGAGTCCCAGCATCTGCATCTCTCTCGATGGCACACCCATCAAACCATTGACACTCTCCAAGGTTTTTGGTGGGAAATTTCTTGTTGAGAGAAGCAAGCAACTCCTCGCAATCCTCGTCAGACCCAGCCACCAAAATGTCATCCACGTAAATCCCGACAATCATCACGACGACTTCGTCTACCATCTTGCGGAAAACACCCGGGTCCGCCTTGCACTGCTCGAACCCGTTCTCAACTAGCGTATCAGCAGCGTGGTACCCCCACTGCCTACCGTTCTGCTTCAGACCGTAAATCCCACGCTCAGCCTTAACAATCTTATGCGATTTGTCCCCGCACCCGCGATTGCTATTATTTTTTTGTACCCCCTATTAAATACTTCAATATTACGTAGTGCTAATTTCCGTCCAATTTATGCAGTAGTCTTTTGGCTTTTTGTTGCTGATTTTTTTTTACTTGCCTGGACAGGAACTACGCCAGTAGATGATTATTTTAAAGTTATTGCTGCTATTGTNTTTTTGTACCCCCTATTAAATACTTCAATATTACGTAGTGCTAATTTCCGTCCAATTTATGCAGTAGTCTTTTGGCTTTTTGTTGCTGATTTTTTTTTACTTGCTTGGACAGGAACTACGCCACTAACTCTTTCATAAAACTCCATTAATTTTTCTCTTTCCTCAAATGCCCATAAAAAAGGAGTCATTGCCCCAACATCCATTGCATGACAGTGAGTGAATCTTACATGTTTTCTGCTCGTTTCAGGGCTTATGAGTTTTTTGTATTTATTCTTGGCATTGCTTTAAGTTGATGCTTATTAGTTTCGTCCTACGATCTTCTTTCTATTTATTTAAGTATGGATTTTTTATTACTTATATTTTATGTTTTAGCTGCTTGGAAAAAAAATTCATACGCCTGCTTCACATCTCAGTGATTGAGGTTCATGCCCTTCCCGTTTGCTACCGCAAGCATCAGCTTGATGGATGTGGATGAGGGGCAAGGGGAAGACGAATGGAAACAATCGACGTTCGGGATTTGCGAAAATCCCCTAGCAACCAGACGAGCTTTGAGCGTGTCTATCTTCCCTTCCTTGTTGGTCTTCCAACTAAAACACCACTTTGAGCTCACAGGCCTGCGCCCCTCTGGCGCACCGTCTACGAATGAAAACGTCCCCGTGCCCAAGTGCCCTTCAAACTCTTCCCTCATGGCCTGTTCCCACCCCTCTCGGTAAACAGACTTGGCAACGCCGGCTACAGTCATGGGTGGGGCTTCTACATCACTCGGACGCTTGCCTATGGGGGATTCACTTAGCTCGTGGGACGCCAGAGCCGTCTCGAAGGCGTCTGGCGAGTTGAGCATGAGGTCCACCGTNTGGGGTTTCACTTAGCTCGTGGGACGTCAGAGCCGTCTCGAAGGCGTCTGGCGAGATGAGCATGAGGTCCACCGTACCCAGCAGGAAATCCTCCGCCTCTTGGCGCGCAGCGTGGGCCTCCT